AAAGTCAAGGGATTTTGAATGGGGGGACCATATTGGGCATCTTGAGGGGAGATGAGCTATTGGTGGGTGGAATATGCCCTAGTGCACTGGCAGCATAGGATTATCACAGAGTCTGGCTAGTAAATTTACTTCTACATTTGTAAATGAGATGAAGGGGAGCAATGTTACTGAGGACTGGTAACCACGGGAGTGGAGTGGGGTGCGCTAGTTGGTGTGCAACGAACATGCATTGTCTTCTGCAACTGAAAGCTGCAACAAGGAACAGTCAGGAGAAGCAACAGGGAGATACAGAGCCTGGATGAGTTTATTAGTGCCTTTCCGAAGTGCTGAGATCTCAATCAAGCTGAAACTCCTGGGATCATGCATTGCAAAACAGACATGGGTTTTTCTTATTATATGGGGGGTTGTTTGGCTTGGTATCTCCCAGCTTTTCAGCTTACTTTTCCTCTTGGATTGTGCCTTGTCACATTAGACACCAAAGAGGGGAAAGCCAGTATTCTAGAAAGTAGAAAACTGGGACGTGGCTGTTGAACCAAAGCTGAAATGAAGAAACTATATCTCATGTGCATCATCCCCTGGGTGTGGTACACGGATGGCAGCTTGTATTGGAACACCAGACATCTATTCTCCATACTCTGCAACTGTAAAGTCCCTCCTCCTCCTCATTAAAACATGATGCAATATCCACCCTTTCCCAGGGTAATCCAAACTTCGGGTCTGAACTTAATCAATGGTGATGGGCAGCAAACTTGCTCTTACACATATTTCAGAATTCGCACTGTTGAGAAGCAGTTCTCCCTCCTAGGACTGTGGGCACTAAGAGAGGGAAGCATAGCATCAGGTAACCTCTAGACCCATGAAATGAAGTGTGTTTCCCCAACTCGACTATGAGCCAACAATGTGCCTGTGTTGCCAAGAAGGCTCACAGCATTATGGACTGCATTAGTAGGAGCATTGCCAGCAGATGGAGGGGAGTGATTCTTTCCCTCTATTCTGCACTGGTAAGGCCACATCTGGAGTCCTGTGTCCAGTTTTGGGCCTCCCACCATAGACAGGATGAGGACAAACTGGTGAGAGTCCAGTGTAGGGTTACAAAAATGGTTCTGGGGCTGGGGTACATGACTTGTGAGAAAAGGCTGAGGGAACTGGGCTGATTTAGTCTAGATAGGAGGAGACTGAGAGGGGGGTTTAATAGCAGCCTTCAACTCCCTGCAGGGTGGGTCTAAAGAGGATGGAGCTGGACTGTTCTCAGTGGTGGCAGGTGACAGAACAAGGAGCAACGGGCTCCAGTTGCAGCAAGGGAGGTTTAGGTTGGATATTAGGAAAAACTCTCTCACTAGGAGGGCGGTGAAGCACTGGAATGGATTACCCAGAGAGGTGGTGGCATCTCCATCCTTGGAGGATTTTAAGACCCAGCTGAACAAAGCCTTAGCTGGGGCTGGGGCTGGGGCTGGGGCTGGGGCTGACCCTGCTCTGAGCAGGGGGTTGGGCTAGATATGACCTCCTGAGATCCCTTCCAACCTTCATTTTCTGACTCTATGACTGTCACCCATCAACTACTATAACAATTCTATAGACCCTCTGGATGTGCCTGGGCAATCCAGAGGTAGTTTTTTACAGCAGCTTAAATTGTTGCTCTTCATTTTTAAAATGAAAACAAGAGCAAAGCAACTTTTTAATGAAGATGAATTAACCCTGAATCCCAAAGCTATAACTCATGACCTCATATGAGAAACAATGTTGTTTACCTTCTCATGCATATTTTAAAGTGGTGTGAACAGGCACAAGTGGATCATCTGACACCATTAACGTCCTATTCATTTGCGTATATAAAACAGTGTGGCCAGGTAAAGACATTGCACATTTACTGGTATAAGTGATCAGAAACCAGTCTATACCCATAACAAAACAGAAGTTTGGCATGCATAGACTGGGTTAAAAATGGCAGAATCCTGTCTAAGATTTGCCACCCCTGCACCAGAAGACGAATGTGTGGTCTGTTCATTACCAATCTAAACTATGCCACTTCCAGAAAACCACATGACTTAGACCAACTCCACTTCAGGATTTTTGAATGTCTGTACCTAGACTATGAGACAAACTGCCTTAAAATTTGCCATGGATCAACTTTCTGTCTGAAAATGCTGCTATTCTGAAATGTCTCAATTTCAACAGGCAAACATTTCAGAAAGACCTGCAATCAGCATGGAATATTGTTTCACACCTTGCACTGGTAGCGAGCATCTGTGAGGGGTTTTAAAATCCTTTCCTCAGAGAGTTCAAGGCCATCTGTGATAAATGTTATTGCCCAGGGAATCTCCACAATGATACCTAGGAGCTATGCATAATTTACGACATAAATGCCTCAATTAAAAGAGCAAACCACAAGAATGTAAACAACTGGAGGAGGGAAATTATTAAGTGCAGCAAAAGGTAGAGAAGCTGCTCAACATATGAATAAGTTTTTCTTTGTCATGGCTGGCAGGTGCCAAGGTGAAAGTGGCTGTCCAGTGAGAAACACCATTTCTCCACCCAGGTTAGGATATGTGACTCACAGAAAGCAATGCTCTTCATAATTGACAAGAGTTAGAGCCACGGTTGCAAAAGTCTTTCCCTTTGTCTTTCCTTCTCTGCTGCAGAGGAATGATTCTTTCTTGCTGCCCTTCCCCAAATTATCAGCCAATGAAATTTTCCCCCCTCTAAAAGCAACGTCCACTCCAAAATTCTGAAAAAGGCCTATTGAAACACAGAACAACCTGAATTCAACGGGGTTTGACCTACACAGAAAATAAATGGGAAATGGCCATAGCTAACATCCCTCAAAAGTGACAGATGGTTTCCGGTGCTTCAGCTTTTGGATGCCCAAGCTGAGATACCTTCAGGGGCCCTGGATTTCAAGAGAGTCCAAAGGAGGACTACGTGTATGTTTAAAGGTCTGGAGAGCAGACCATACAATGAGAGGCTGAGAGACATGGGACTGTTCAGCCTGGAGCAGAGAAGACTCAAAGGGGACTTGGTGGCCACCTATAAGTATATACAGGGTGCACACATCAGGGACTGGAAGAACGTCAGTCCTAGTCTTCCCCTGGGGAGCCCTGGTGAACAAAGGGTCATAAATTGCTAGAAGACCACTTTGGATTAGACATAAGGAAAACATTTTTTACAACTCGAGTGTCCATGGTCTGGAATAGACTCCCTCCAGAGGTGGTATGATCACTTACTCTGGATACCTTCAAAAAACAACTAGGTGCTCACCTTGCTGGGATCATCTGACCCCAACAGTCTTTCCTGCTCAAGCGCAGGGGGGCTGAACCTGATGATCTCAAGAGGTCCCTTCCAACCCCAACATCTATGAATCTATGAATGAATCTATGAATTATGGGCCACCCATCCTCTGGATACCAGTGCCATTGTAAGCTTCTCAAGCTGGGAGCCTGCACCCCAATAGCATTGAAAAAACACATCCTAAATAGAGAGTCCGTATATTTACATCCTTGGCCTTGCCCTGCCATTGAAATGAGACACAGGATTTTGTTTTCATGTGGACTGTTGAAGACCACTGTATGCCCTTTGACAGTTTACTGTAGAGACTAACTGAGGTTCTCCAGTCACAGCAATGGGATGTATCCTGCTGGGAGCTAAACCCCTCCCTCCAAAAGCAAAATGTCTCCAGGGATTCAACCTCCACCCTGTATGCTGGGATTGATCCATGCGCTGGCCTGTGTGCCCAATCCAGCACACAGAGTCATGGCCCGCAGTGCTCCTCACAGACCCATGAGGAGCCCTACAGGCTGGACGTTGCAGTGCTGAGGGACAGATCTGGCCATGGGCTGGGGTTGAGCACCCCTGTGTTAAGTTATTAGACTCCGTTACTTAATTCATAGATATTGGATGCAAGATTCTTCACAAATACATTTCACTTAACTGGCATTTGCTTGGAGAACTGACTCATTGGCATATGTTTGGGAAATAGTTTGGGTATACTTTTAATCACATCACTTGGCCACAGGATAAAAAATGAAAAATTTCAGCAGTTCAATGAAAAGTGTTGGGGCTGAGGCACATGACCTGTGAGGAATTAGGTTTATTTAGTCTGGAGAAGAGAAGACCGAAGGGGGATTTAATAGTGGCCTTCAACTCCCTGAAGGGTGGCTTTAAAGGGGATGGAGCTGGACTGTTCTCAGTAGTGGCAGATGACAGAACAAGGAGCAATGGGCTCCAGTTGCAGTGAGGAAAGTGGAGGTTAGATAGGAAAAACTTTCTCCCAAGGAGGGTAGTAAGCACTGGAACAGGTTACCCAGAGAGGTGGTGGACTCTCCACCTTTGGAGGTATTTAAGACCCAGGTAGACAAAGCCTTGATTGGGATGATCTAGTTGGGGCTGGTCCTGCTTGGAGCAGAGGGTGAGACTACAGAGGGTTGGACTAAGGTTCCTCCCAACCCTCATTTTCTAGGATTCTATAAAATGAATTTCCTCCCAGCTGGATTGGAAATAATGAATTAAGCCAAAGAAAACCATGAGGATCATGATGTGATGCAGCAAGATTTTTAATGCGAATGAGACAGGGAACATAGCCTTATAGAACGAAAGGATGCACAGCGGGAAAGACATGTTTCCGGAGTTACAGTCAGGGCCACAACCAGGCACTCACTGCGAGGAGCGCATCTCTCACAAAGCTCCCATCTATCTTCATTGCAGAGGAAGAAACGGACCATCACACCTTGTTCCCAAACATTTTAAATGATTGACATTCCCCTAAGTCAGTATGATGCAGGATGAAGGAGCATAGCAGTTCAGGGCGAAGCAGTGAGACCCTCCAATCCAAGCTGAAGGCACACCATAACATGAAGAAAGCACATGTGGGGTGATCTGTAAACGTGCTGAACTCTCCAACCCCACCTGGAGCTACGAGGACTCAGCAGGTCTGACAGCCTTTCCCACGAACTCTGCCTGGAATCTGCCACTGGCTGTTTCCGCTGCCGTGGATAACGTGGAAGGGTTTAAAAGAACTCATTGTTTCCAAACTGGCGCTGATAGGCAAATCGGGTGAAAGGGAAACTGCTGCTAAAACTGCCTGGGGGGCATCTAGAAAAGAAAGAGCTCCTGAAAATCCCAGAGCCCCCCACACCGTATGATCCACCATAACCTTCATAGGGGTCCCCAGAACCATATGATTCCCCAGAGATCACATAGGAACCCTTAGAACTCTCAGAGGAGTCTTCATTTCTCCTTGATCCTTCATGGGATTCCCCAAAGCCCCCAGGGGAGGTTCCAGAGCGACGTGATCCCCCAGAGATCCCATAGGAACCACCAGATCTCCCAGAGGAGTGTTCACTTTCACCTGGCCCCTCATGGGATTCCCCATAAACTTTACAGGATTCCCCAGAGCCCCCAGAGGAGGTTCCACAGCGACGTGATCCCCCAGAGATCCCATAAGAACCACCAGAAATCCCAGTGGAGTGTTCACTTTCACCTGGTCCCTCATGGGATTCCCCATAAACTTTAGGGGATTCCCCAGAGCCCCCAGAGGAGGTTCCAGAGCGACGTGATCCCCCAGAGATCCCATAAGAACCACCAGAAATCCCAGTGGAGTGTTCACTTTCACCTGGTCCCTCATGGGATTCCCCATAAACTTTAGGGGATTCCCCAGAGCCCCCAGAGGAGGTTCCAGAGCGATGTGATCCCCCAGAGATCCCATAGGAATCCCCAGAACTCGCAGAGGAGACTCCAGTTCTACCTGATACCCCACGGGATCCCCTAGAACCTTCACGGGATCCCCCAGAGACCCCATAAGAGGTTCCAGAACTACGTGCTCCCCCAGAGATACCAGAGGAACGCCCAGAACTCCCATAGGTGGCCCCAGAGGAGCCTCCAGTTCTACTTGATCCCCCATAGGATCTCCCAGAAGTCCCATAGGAGCCTCCAATCCCACTTGATCCCCCATAGGATCCTCCAGAATACCCGTAGGATCCCCCAGAATGCCCATAGGAGGCCCCATAGGAGCCTCCAATTCCACTTGATCCTCCATAGGATCCCCCAGAACCCTCATAGGGTCCCCCAGGATATCCCCCAATGGGATATGGCTCTGCCGCCCCCACGACACTTTCTTGAGGGCAAGAGGCGAGAATCGGTCCCGGGAAAGTCATGATGACGGGAGGTGCGAAGACCACGGCTCTTGAGTCTCCAAACGATGTTGTATTCGGATAGTTACAGGCAGCCGCATATGGTTCTGGGCACATCATCTCACATGGTGGCAGGCAGCGGGAACTAATCATCTGTCCACAGGACATCTTTCTGCAGAGGAGGTAAGCCTGAAACACACAGTGGAAGAAAAACTCAAGGGATTATGTCATCAGAGATCTACAGGTCCCAGATTATGGTAACAGAAGTCTCCTTTTGGCTGGTTTGGTCCCCAAAGACTGGCTATGGGGTTCTGTCCAGTAAATGCTCAGAGCCCTGGCCTGTCCTGTTTCCTCTCCTGTGATCCTTCTTGACCCTGCTCCCATGCAACTCTGACCTTTTCTTTTTCTCAAAGGATTGCAATGCTTCCTAGCACTTTCATAGCAAGTCTTCCATTCATGGATGCAGACCATCTTCCATTGGCACAACTACCATAAGAAATGGGCAGCTCTTCTCAGTGTTTCAGAAGGATTCACAGAAGCCCTGGATTGCCCGTGGTCACTTGGCACTTGTTGCAGTTGTACACCTGCAACAATTCTAGTTCGCCCTCTTCCACTGAGTGCTGAGCCCTTTTGAGAGTCTGGACCAATATGATTTGTTCCCTGTCGCACCTGGGGCAGACAGCAGGGATTGAACACATCTTTCCTGGGCCCCTGTCTTGTGTCATGACCATAAAACCACATGTTCTCACTAGCCTTTACAGGAGGACTTTAAATCAAGAAAGCTAATGGTCAACCCACTCAGTGGTATGTTTCCATCCTTGATACCTCGCATTTTGAAACCATTCTTTGCAAAGGGCTAGAACTATATCTGGTATAACCAGTCACCCTTCCATCTAGTCCAGTGGTTCTCAGCCTATTTGCTATAGTGGGTCACAATGACAGTTCTCAATGTATTATGTGGGCCATACCCACACAACTTGCTTCCTGTGCATCCATTTAAAAATGTTTTGCTTCTGTTATTTGACAATAAAGTAATAAAAATCAATATTCTGTAATACCTCTCATTTCTACACTGTCAAAGTCATTACTTTAAAAAGAAAACAGGATGTCACATGGGCTGCAGCGATGTGCTAATTGGGCCTCATGCAACCCGCAGGTTGCGAACCACTGCTCTAATCTGAATACACTAGGCAGACTCACAGTGGCTGATGATCTGAATCTAAAAGTTCTAATTATACCCCAAAAAGTAGCAAAATGCCATACTGGATTAGACCTTCAATCCATGGAATAAAGCATCCTGTTATCATTCACAAACTTCAAATAAAAGGCTTTTCCTTGCAGTACAGGGTTTCATATAGACCCCTTCAAACACTTGGAGTTTGACTATAAGTAGAAACCCAGTTAAAAAGTGCATTAAATAAAATAAGTGCTCCATAAGTGAACACTGAACTCAGTAGTTTAACAGAAACAGCAATATCTGAGCACCAGTTAGAGGAAATTGCTGATTCCAGTTCATTCAGACAACAACCTGACAATGTTCATGTATATTAAGAGAGTCAAAGAGATGCTGGCCACTAGCAAAGTGGCTTGAGGTTGAGATGAGTTTTAATGCTTTCTAAAGTTTTAGCTTCTCAACCCTCAGTTAAAACAGTTAGAAATGCTGTGATCTGGTACTGAAAATACCCCTGAAAATCCCAGCCAAGTATTTTAAAAGTCTAGTTCCACCAGCAGTTTTCACAAATAACAGAAAATTTCCTATAGAAAGGCGGAAATGATCTAAACTTTTCTAAAAATCACAGAATGTGGAACATTCAGTTCTCAGTTAACACAGTCACTACAGAGATCACAAGAAAGCAATTGAGTCAAATTGGACTTACCCAGTCTACCTAGTGAATAAGTCAGGAGAAGTGGTTGGAAGTGTCCAGCACTTCAAGTGTTTTTATATACTTTCTTCAAGAAGGAAAACTGGAAGACACCTGTTACTCATGAAGACTTTATCTCTTATGAAATTAAATGTTTTTCATGGGCGCCTGCTGTAATTACTATAATCCTTTTGATCACCCTTTATCACTGTTTGTCAATTCCCAATACCACACAGGAGGATATACGTGTTGTACTTGGCATTTTCCTTTGCCATTAAATTTAAATCCTCTCAGCAGCTTCACTGAGATAAACATGAGAATGAATGTCCATTGGTTTAAATTCCTTCTTAATGCCTTGTTGAGATGAAGGTGGCTCAGAACCAGATCAGTAACCCAATCTATTGCCAAGTACCACATTCTTATCTCCCATAGTCTCACTTAGTGTAAATCAACAGTGATGGAAGCAGAGTGCCACATGATATGTAAACAAGGTTCCTTGGGTGAATTTGATATATTTTATTAGACCAACCCAAATAGCTGGAGAAAAGTTATTAAGCAAGCTTTTGGGTTCAAAAACCCTTCGTCAGGCTAAGGAAGTTTCAGCAGTTGGTGTGTGCTCTTCCTGGATGGGATGAAAAGTAAAGAAGCCAGGGGCTGGGCTGGGGAGTCAGTTGTCAGGCAGATTATAATGTATCAAAAATCCAATGTCTATGTTTAGATATTTTACATATTTTCCATCAGGGCATTTGTAGGAGAGACCAAACAACTACTGCGCACCAGAATGAACGCACACCGGAAATCTATCAATGACAGAAATACCCAATTACCGGTGGGGGCACATTTCTCACAGGAGGGCCACTCTCTCTCCAATCTCTCAGTCCTGATCCTCAAGGGAAACTTACACAACACTTCCCAGAGATGAACCTATGAGCTCCATTTCATCAACCTCCTGGATACTAGAGATCATGGACTAAACATAGGCATTGGATTTTTGATACATTATAATCTGCCTGGCAACTGACTCCCCAGCCCAGCCACTGGCTTCTTTACTTCTCATTCCATCCAGGAAGAGCACACACCAACTGCTGGAACTTCCTTAGCCTGACGAAGGGTTTTTGAACCCAAAAGCTTGCTTAATAACTTTTCTCCAACTATTTGGGTTGGTCTAATAAAAGATATCAAATTCACCCAAGGAACCTTGTCTGCCTATATCCTTAGACCAACACTGCTACAACCTAAACAACTGCAACATGGTATGTAAGGTGCCTCCAAAGTGAAATGCCTGATCCTCAAAGGATGAAATTCAACCCAGGGCAGAGGATCCTGCACCAAATTCTGTGCAGCACTTCAAACCATATAATCCCTAATTTCGAAAGATTCAGGAGAAAATAAACATGCAGACCTTGCATTGGTCCTCTGCCAAAGAAAGACATGCAAGCCACATTCAAACCCATTAAAAAGATGCCCTCAGATTTAAGTGGGCTTTGGATAAGACCCATAGTGAACACCTGGAGGCATAGATCATAGAACAAACTCTCCAATCACCCCAGGGGTTGCAAAAGTTAATTCAACTTTGCTCCAAAATGAGTGCATCTACACGTGCATTAAGGTGCTTTTTCTAATGCTCATTAAATTTAGCACCTCCAATGTGGGGTACTAAAGAAATGTGCATTATGTTGCCTTAATGTGCAGTAATGAATTCATATGGTTTTTATGTGATGCTTAATGCACAGCAGCCTAGTTTACTGCTTATTAGCATAATTGCACTTTTTTTTTACATGACACAAATGCACAGTATAATAGGCTACTGCACGTTAAAGTGCACATGTAGATGCATCCACTGGGTATTAGCCTAGATGCAAAAAGCAAGGAATCCTAGGTGTGATGGCAGAGTGCACTCCCTGATACTTCTCTGAGCCACCACCTTAATGTCATGGACTAATAGAGATGGAGCTAGAGCCCTTTCTATTTGGACACCCAAGAAGCCAGTGGAATGGCACGGAAGATTATTGAACCTTGAAAATTTAAGATGTCCGTGACCTCTGAGGTGTATTGTAGATATGTTTTGTGGAAGTAATTATTAACTAATAATTACAGTCATCCAAACTGTTGCAGCAATTAGAGGTGTAATCCGTGAAAAAAAAAAATCGGTTGGTAAGTAACAAGGACTTCATGGAATAATGCTTCCCATAACATCTTCATAGTCTCACATCAACCACAGAAAATGATTTGCAACTAAGGGATCTTCTAAGGCAGCGGTTTTCAAACTGTGGTCCACAGATCCCTGAGAGTCCACAGACTGTGTCTAAGGGGTCTGTGAAAGATGACTATGAGCAATCAAAAGTATGTGAATACCCACACTTGCAATTCAAAGGGGTCCGCACCTCCATTCAAAATTTCCAAACGGGTCCACAAATGAAAAAAAAAGGTTGAAAACTGCTGTTTTAAGGGCTTAAAAAAATACAGCAGATAACTGTCCTTGGCAAAATTACTGCTGTTACCTTCCAGGATAGACTCTTTTGTGTGTCACTTATCACTTCAAAAATACATGGCAACAAATCTTGAAGGCACATAAGATTTTGGGGAGCCTAACTTGTAGCTAGTGAATATTCACATTCCCAGGACAACTCTGAAAAATCTTACTAAACATAGTTTGATATTGGCCAGAATTCCCTTGTCACTTCTGGAATACATTAATATACTGCCTGAACCTCAGTTGTCCCACTGGGGTATTTGTAATGTATATTAGTTGAAGATCTAACCAACAATATCCATTAAAATATTGTACATAGAGATGGATGGATGGATGGATGGATGGATGGATAAAGATAACCTCTCTTCACCAGAACATTTCACTAGACAAGTAAACTATTTGGGCTGAGAATCATAGAAAATGAGGGTGGGAAGGGACCTCAGGAAGTCACATCTAGTCCACCCCCCTGCTCCAAGTAGGACCAGCCCCAACTACATAATCCCAGCCAAGACTTTGTTGAGCCAAGCCTTAAAAATCTCCAGGGATGGAGATTCCACCACCACTTTGGGTAACCCATTTCAGTGCTTCATCATCCTCCTAGAGAGAAAGCTTTTCCTAATATCCAACCTAAACCTCCCTTGTTGCAACTTGAGCCCATTGCTCCTTGTTCTGTCACCTGCCCCCACTGAGAACAGTCCAGCTCCATCCTTTTTGGAACCCCGCTTCAGGGAGTTGAAGGCTGCTATTAAATCCCCCCGCCATCTTCTCATCTCCAGACTAATTAAGCTCATTTCCCTCAGCCTGTCCTCACAAGTCATGTGTCCCAGCCCCCAAAACATTTTTGCTGCCCTCCACTGGAGTCTCTCCAATGTGTAGTGGGTAGCCAAGAGCTGGACACAGGGCTCCAGATGTGGCCTTGCCAGTGCTAATAGAGGGGAAGAATCACTTCCTTTGATCTGCTGGCAATGTTCTTACTGATGCAGCCCAAGATGCCATTAGCCTTCTTGGCAACAAGGGCACACTTCTTTCAAAATGCTTCTTACTTCCAGCTCTTTCCTGTATAGTCTTGTTAGTTTGCCATTTCCTCTCTGATTGTATTTGTGCTATGCCCACCACTACAGGACCCTGACCTCACTTGTGGCATCAAGGACATTGTGGCATTCAGATTATAAAGAATACCAGTAGCACAATGAAGATTCCTGGCATTCATACTTGACTTTTCATCTGGCTCATGAAATTGCCTTGGAGCAGTCAGTCAGACTGAGAGTCCAAATTGGCCATTATATTACCATAATATGATTATAATTACTTTGGCACTTGGGTGTACTGCAAATTAATGGTTGCACAGAGCAGTAAAAAGATAAGTCGGTAAGTTGTTATGAACAGGGAGCGGCAGCATTGTTGTTAGCAACTGAAACTATAACAGGAAGGATTAGGAACTGCACAAGTGAAGGCTTAAGAAGGAGAAGGGGTGCAAGCATGAGAGTTGGAGGGGCAGGGAGCTGCACAGACAAAACAAGGGTTGGGAGCAAGGCCAAGCAGAAAGGAGCAAGAGGACCAGGATAAACTGGGAACCGAGGTATAACCAGGAACTAATGGATCAAATCCTCATTGACTCTTCTTTAGTCAAATACCAAAAGTTCCTACACTCATATGTTGATGCTCCTACACTCACATTACCATAATATCAAAGCTTTGCAGCTCTCAACCCCTTGATGTTGGTACCACTTGCTTCTTCATTTACCTCCATACAGAGAAACACCTGGAATTTCTGTGTGAAAGGCCTATAGCTGGAATGGTTCTTGTGCTAAATCATGTGGAGGCTGGAGGGTCATGACACCAGATGTGTCCTCTTACCCTCAGAGCCAATTCTCAGCCCTTGCCTTTAGAAGTACATTAAGACCTGAAACCGGGGGCTCATTCAGTTGTGGGGGGGCTCATTTTCTTCATATTGTCAGCATCTGATGCAGTGCCAGAAATCATTGGGTTCTCTTCTGGGCTGTAGGCGCAACAGGGGAACCTGTGGACCATATTAAACCAACAGGAATATCCACAGACCGTGAAACAACCAGGAAACTAAAAGCAAAACACACATTTATGAATGAACTTATGAGCATGACTTTCAGATGTGCTAAAGCCATCTACAGAATGCAGGAGTTGCATGTAACATGCTGATGGACATCATACATCCATTTGTTTGACTGCAATTACATTACTTGCTAGGTCATTACCAACAAGATGCTCCTGGCCAGAGCTGGCTACACCAGGCTCCAAAGCACTGTGGCTTCAGATAAACCCCATTCCCATCACTCAGAAGGCAACAGAGGCACCAACTCTGCAAAAGTTTTCTAAACTGTTGAGGTCCCTGCCTTGCTGGTGACTCGAGGGAGGTGTAGAGTAGGAGAATCCAGGTGAGAATCCAACCAAAGAGTGTGGGAAACGGCAAAGGATAGATTGCATCTTCTAGACTAACTAAATTAGAGATGTATACTATGCTTTCTGGTGAGCCTGAGTTCATTTCATCTGATGTGCAAGAGTTAGGGGGGCAAAGAGAGCTG